CAAAAAAACTATTTAAATTAACTATTTCTTTAGAGTTCCGTTTTGTTTTACAATAGTTTTAGAGTTCTATATCATATATAACAATAGTTCTAAAGAAATAGTTGATTTTACTGATTAATTGCGCTTCGAGAACTTAGCATACCTTTTTTTAAAAGTCTATATTTTTGTATTTAATGACCGGAACTATTTAAAATTGTTGCAAAGAGCTCTAGAACGCCAGTGGCTCGGCGCGGCTTCGTGCGAGATTTTTCAGAAAGCGACGTTTCCTTTTACAACGGCAGGTTAATGGCCGCGATGAGTTGCCTCGGATAGACCCTCGCTCTTAAGCGAGGCGGGTAAGATTGAACGAACCCAGTCAATACCTCTCCTTCCGTCCTCCTAAACTTTTTAAGTGTCTACGCTGCTCTAGTAACCCGCTGAAACGCGCGGTTTACCGTAAAGTTCTACGAATCGCTGAATTATCAATGTGCTGAAATAGCAATGTCGCTCTCGATGTATACTCGATATGCATTAGCGCTACTGCCGCGATTCGTTCGGCTTCGCATATGTACGAGTACAGCTAGAGCGGGAGAGTTTCATTAAAATTTCGCAATCGCGCGATAACGAAGCGGACACGATGTTGGAAGATACGTACATACGGCGCCGGAACATTAACGGAAACGAATCGTCACGGGAGATCACGAGAGTGCAATGGCGACGGGAAATTACACGTGGGAGAGTTTCTCGAAATTGAATAATGCTCACGCAATCCGGTGAAACCGGAAGACCGCATCGATCCACGTTCGCGCGCTATGGTGGTCTGTACAGTTCCTAATGGTATTATCAACCCCTAACTGTGAACGTCTCAGGGGGTCGTCGACCAGACACCCACGAGTCCATTATTAAAGTTCCCACCGCGAACTTCTGATTTGAGACTGATAGGGTGCACTTTCGAAAATTGCGGGCGCTATAATTCGCACCTGGACGATTTCAGCTCGCTAAGACGAGAAGAGACGCGCGAGTCGAAACTCGCTGTTAGACATAATAAGAATTAATATTTTTGTGCCCGGGAAGTAAGCATTGTCCGACGAATTCGAAATAGCAGTGAGCTGTGAGTTACGAAGTTTCGCCGAGAATTACCGAAATAACGACACGCTTTTGATCGTTAGCTGGCCGTAACCATGGATCGAAAAGTTTGTTACTCCGTCAAGCGAGCGAGCGAGCGACCGACCGACCAACGGCGCCGACGGTCAGCCCCGCCAGGGGGTGAACAACGAGTCTCTGGAATCGCATGGACGTGCACTTACGTGACTCGTAAGGGGCAGCAGACAGGAGCGTAAAACTTTAGTCCGCCGTACGGCCACTACCGCAAAGTACAGCGGCAAACAACCCCGTCGGCTTTTTTTTTCTGCAAACCCAATTACGCTGCATCGAGGGAGAAAATTAGTTGTGTTTTTATGACGCCGCGGTAGCGCGCAGACGTATATGCCCACTTCCGAATTAACGCGGCGGGGAAAACATGCCGCGAGTGCTATCGAGTCAACGGGGCGTGCATGATACATAAAGATTGCTCGAGTTTCATACCGAAAAAGTAAAAAATAATTAAGTGCACAAGTTACCGTGGCGTCTCAAGCGGAGACATTCGATTAGGTGCGCCGCATATGTCGCGTAAGAAATTGCAAAACTTTCGCAAGCACCGCTGAATAATATTTTGAAAAATGTCACGCCACTCCAACGGCGTTTATTTTATTGAATACGGATAAGTGGAAGACCAAAGTTGTCGCGAACAGCGTTGAGACAAATGTCGAAAATAAAGAAGAGCGCGATATTTGACGCTGATAATCTCGGCATATTGGTATATATATACACACACATACACACATGTGTGTGTATATGTACACGCACATGTTTGCGCAGACGCATGGACGTGATTCGCGCGCGTGTAGGCGTGGCCTGTGTGCACAAACCACGCCTACGCGTCCGCAGGTCATGTCTTTTTAGATATTTTTTAATACTTTTAGTATATAATATATTATATAAGGTGTCCCATTTAATTAGACCATCTTTTTGCCCTCGAAATTCTATAAATTTTGTCTATATTGTTGAATATTGGAGGGTCAAATTTAAACAAATTTCTTGAGTTAAATAATATTTAGTTATTTTTAACTATCATGTGTGTCAAAATTTACTATTTTAACACAAAACATGTGTTTATAAAAACAACCACATCTAATTAACCCATTTAAAACACAATATTAAATCATTTTTTTACTAAAACAAAGGTTACATTAACGTGCACATAATAAAAAATAAACTAAATTTTAGTCAAATTTAATACATTTCTTAAGTTAAATTATTTAACTCCATTACATTAGTTTAACGACATATTTAATAGGAACAGTGGTGACTTATAGGAATGATTGAAAATAACTCAAATTGAGTATAATTTGACACTACGGATTTAACAGTGTACCGAACCTAGTTCTCAAGATATTGGCCTGTTTAAAATGGAACACCCTGTATGTATATAATTTTTCCTTGCCACACGCCTATCGTTTGTAGTGTCGCAGAACGGTGACGGTGATGGTGGACGAATACAATAAGGATAAGATCCAAGTCCGCGCGCCTGCTCGTGCACGATCGGAATCTTAACGCCGGGTTGGCGTGAGTCTTATCTAGAGGAACGCGAGTCGCTACTTCGTTCTTGCCCAAAGAGCTCCTTCGGCTCCTTGGCGAAGAGTCGCTTGATTTCGGAGCAAGGCGTACGTCGCGATCCAATCCGCTCGCGCGCAATTCTAAAGCGTTTTACTGTCAAGGTTGAGGTTGATGGAACTGTCGCGCACACCAAGGCCTTTTTCTCTCTCTCTCTCTGTCTCTCTCTCTCTCCCGTTTTCTTCCTCGTTTTAATATCACGCGAACGTCGGACGGCCGATCGAAATTCAGATTCTTTCATTTCCAGCTTGACTTTTAGCACGCTGATAACGGACTATCGAGAGCACGTCGCGCTCGCGCGCCCAGCGCGATTCTAACGCGATTCCAGCGCGTATCCGATAGCGTATCCTGCGTGGTAATAAATCAGCGGCTGGACGGGAACGCGGCTACGCGAAATTCCGGTTTCTACCGACACCGCGAGCGCGCTCCATACGGTTATGGAGGTTACACGCGGCATTCCAGATACTCCAGTAACGATCCGCTGACCGTGCAAGCAGCTTCTTGGCAGGCTTCCTAGAGGGGTGGAGAGGGATACTTTTTTACACACCCGCTCCATCTCGGCGCTCTGGAGCTGCAGCGTTTGCCAAACCCGCCACTGACCTAACAAATCGCCCGCGAACCGGGACGCGCCGCAACCAACGACCTTGAGCGAGGATGACTGGAGCACCGTGTCACGAGTTTCAAACAGCGTGCGCGTCGCATAGCTGAGATTTGAGTTGTCCAAGTGGAGCAACCAACGGGGTGGGTGGCGCGCAATTTTTGTCGGGAGCTCGAGCGCGGGAACGTCCCGCTCGCCTCCCCGACACTTCCTTCCTCGCGAGCGAGTCATTCGTTAGCGCACGTCGTTCTCGAGGCACTACATTCGTCGAGGCAACGTTGCAAATTGGAGTAAGTCGCTTTTCCGTTAGCCATCAGCACCTACTAAGCCAAGCGAAGCGCGATAGCCCGGAACGGACGGAAATCAATACGTGTTCGGAGTTTACAGAGTGCCCCGAGTTTCCATACGTGAATTCCGCGGCTTCAGCCATCTCCCTAGTGGATGTCGACGAGACGTGGCGGATTATTTAATGCGATCGACCGATCGCTTTTTCGAAATCTCCGCGTGTCAATGATCAAACTATGCGTTCACGAGACATCCCTGAGTCACGCACGTCAATTTCTCCGCGAAAATCGCGCGATATCAGTCTCTTCGAAGAAAATAAAGTTGGGTTAAAGGGGAAAAGAAGAAGATTAAATATAAAAATTTGACATAGATCAAAATAGCCAATAAAAGCCCACGCAAAATGTCGACTGCGAAACGCACTATATCCACAAAATTTTCCAGACATTAGATGCCCCATTTCTTGGTTTATTTGTGGATATAATGTATTTCGCAATCGACACCTTGCGTGGGTTCTTATTGGCTTCTTTGATCCATGTTTCATTCCACATCTGAGAGTCTGATAATTTTTTCAATATTAAAACTTATTTAATTAATCCTTCGAGTGGTTAACAGAGTTATTTGTGTTCGAGTGTTCATTTTAAGAAGTATTCGTTTCTCTGGGTATTTCTGTTTAAAAATGTTTGTGAAAAATAAATGCTGAGTATTCTGTTTAAAATAAAAACAATGTAGTTTTCTCTGGAAGGGCGGAGGAACTTTCAATAATTTTTTAAAATATTTTCGAGGGGAGAAAAATCGAGGAAGACGCTAATGATCTTGCCAGCCCGAGGGTAGCGAAAATACATTATCTCTCGGAGGGTTAAGAAAGGAGAAGAAGAAAAATCGATTACCGAATTATCTAATGCAGAGATTCGGGAAGATTTGGCCGATGGAGCTTGGGATATATACGAGAAACATCGTCACGAGATATTATCTCATTTTCTCTACGAGCCAACGCGAGCAACAAGGATCTAAGATAATAACGAAGACAGAACGTTACTAAGGAGGCCGCTTAATAAAGATCGCGACGTTCAAAAGCAAGTCTGTAGGAGACGATGCAGCTTCGGAGCGAAAGATGATCGCGTTACCATCGGGTAATCGAACCCTTTCACTGCTCCTTCGCACTAGCTCTCTCTATCTCTCTCTCTCTCCCCTTCTCTCACGTATCCTATTCCCACTCACCCCTTGTCCTTCCCAATTTACTCAGCGTTACCATCGTCTACGTTCTCATAGACGACGTGCGCGATCTCGTCATCCCTGACGGACCTCGTTCGCGCTGCTCGGCGATCCGATAAACGACGTACATCGAGAAGCGTAAACCCTTTGCTTAGAAAGGGTAAATGATTTTTTCTACGAAGCCGTCGGCTGGTCTCTCACGTCAGGGATCAATATCGGCGGAAGTAATACTTCCATTGCGTCATGTCCCGAAGTTGCTGTTTGCGTTCGGAATACGATATAACAGGAGCAGTCTCGGCAGACACACGTGGGCAAGATAAATCGCTATCGACACACCGACGATAATGCTTCATATTTATTTCCAGTTTTTCAGTTTTCGTCTGTCCGCGTTATCGAATCACGATTGTCTCGACAGCAGCCGCGATACAAGCCCGTATTGTCGCCTCTTCGTTCAACGTAAAATAAAAGTAAAGCGACATATTCGCACGCGTATCTAACACTAGACATTCTTATTGTTTTGGATTTTAATTACGAATATTTGGACTTTTAATATAGGATATGTGTGCAGAATGTTCAAAGAAATGTTCAAGACTTAAAGGATAGATGGTACTCACTATACTGAGAGAAAAAATGCTTAACTTTCACCTCAAACGAAAGACAAGAACGACGCGTCCGTAGTACGCGGAGCGTACGAGTATAAACAAATACAAACGTCCTATGCGCGTACCAGAGCGACCGCTTGATCCAATTATTACCCGACTCGCGGCTAAAGATAGGCTCGGGACCGATGACGTAACAACAGGTGGGATGTTCCGATCGCGAGATTCATCTAGACGCGAGTGAGAAAGCGGAGGAGCAAGCGAGTTCCCTGACCTGGCGACGCGACAGCTCGCCGGGTGAGACTAAAAATTCACTCACGATTTTGTGATGGAGATGCTGGAGCTCCCTCTCAGTGACTCTTCTGCGGGAAAGTTCGCGCTGCTCCCGCCTATACTGGCTGTACTTGTAGAAGAGGTACATCCCGGGCAGAGCCAACACCACCAAGGGCTTCATCAAGCCGGTCCGTCCGCTACCACCTCGAACACGTGGCTCGGGTGGTTCGTCCAAGTCCTCCAGCTGGCCAGCCCCTTCGGCAACGGCCGGCACGGTTGCACCAGCTGCTGGCATCCTTCTGCAAGACACCCAAGAAACTCTGTTTCCCTCTTTTTTCCTTCTCTCTCTCTCTCTCTCTCTCTCTCTCTCTCTCTCTCTATTTCAATCTATCTCTCCGTTTATTGTTACGCGTGAATAAATTGCGAATCTGCAGTTTTCGATAGAGAATCATCGTCGCGAACAGCCCTTGAAGCTCCTCCTCTTTCGATCAGGCTGTCGTCCCGGGAAATTAATTCGCGTCGCGTCGCGAGAGTCAGAGAGAAACCCGGTGACCGATGCGACGCCTAACGCGCGCGCTACACTAAACAATATACTCGTCCCGGTGCATTGTGGCTCATTGAGGAAATCGAACCGTCACGTCGGCTATTCCGCTCGTTTGGAGAACATCCGGAGGACGCATCTGGCTCAATTACTCCGCAGTTCACTCCCTTCGTCTGCGATTTTTCCCGCTCAACACAGCCACGCGCGCACACATACACGCGCCGCTCCTCATTCGCCCTCTTTCCACTTAGATGCTCCGCAGCGATGTCAGCTCGCGGGTGAGTAGTAAACTATCCGACTACGCAGCGAGATTTCACTTTTCTGCCGGCGAACGAATGGCGGATTTTAGGTGGACAAAGGAACCGGCTATCGGTTTATTGGTTTCTCATCAAATCGTTTTTTACCGTTTCCACCGCGCCGCCGAGAGTCGCCGGGATTTCAGTTGCCGCGTATTCCGAACTCGTATTCTCCACTTCCTGGTCTCGTCTCTCTCATTTTCAGATATTTATAATCCCCTTTCCTTCTCTCTCTCTCTCTCTCTCCCCCCCTTCCCCCCTAACACCGCGCTACGACATCCGCGGAAAAATGATCTCTTTCCCCTACATTCATCCTCGAATCTCGCAACTTTAATCTCGCGTCTGTCAGAACGATGATTATTTTCGCGATCTCCCGCGAGTTTTTGCACTCCTACATGATATAGGAGGCCGTCGCCGAGAATAAAGTATTAGAGTACGTCCTATCTCGACGCGAATGTGCCTACGAATTTTCCAAGGAACCCCTGTCGGAGGACGGAGAAGAAACCGCCGCTGCCAGACCCGATTTGAAGAATCTCTCGCCCCGACAGTAATTATACCGTCGTTTCTATTTAAACACGTCGCTCGTTCACGAGCTCTTCGTCGATTATGATAAATCGAGTCGCCGACGCGATTAAAACGGCAATCACTCGTCAATCAGCTATAATTATTCCGCCGGGAAGAAGCGCGGTCATCGCGAAACTCAATCCCGTCGAGTCCCCCCTCTCTCTTTCTCTTTTTCTCTCTCCTCTTCCCTCTCTATCTCGCGCGATACGGCGAAAAATTGATAATTGGCTCGATATCGCGAAGACGTCCAATTAACGAGTGAGCCGTCGTCGTCGGGCGCCGAGATGAAACTGGTTGACGGATGTTAACTGCAGCAGCGCGCACTGTGCATGGGACTTGAATGAAATTTCGTAATCTACTTGCCGGTCATTCACCGTCTATATCTGATTCAGGCGTCTACTTGGCGTTCTATTCTTAAACCGGCTGCTCTAGAAATACACACACAGCTCGCTCTATATCGCCGACTCGCCCGAGTCAGGTCGTGCACCCCGCCTCGCTGCACTCTGTAGGAAGATGCAGCCAGCAGCGTCGGCGGTGCACGCGTGACGTCGGGCTCGCGTTCGCCTGTGTCGGTGATTTCCTGACACAGTCAGGGCGCATATCGCGATAAGCGACGGTAAGGGTCGTGTCTGCGAGTACGCGGTCCTCGAGTGCTTTAAAACGCCCACGTAACCGCGCGTCTCGAGAAATTCTGATGTTTTGAGGCCATTCTATAATCACGTAAGCGTGGTCGTAAACGTGCCAACCGAGCCATCCGAGTGTTCTATTCACTAATTGCTTTATTCTGATTGGTTGTCGTAATCGCTTACAACTACTTACGACCACGCAATTGTAGAATGGCCTTTGCGAAAATAGAGCTGCAGGAACATTGAACGACACGCGGGCAACTCACCGGACGGAAAAAATAATAATGGAAAATTGGTTAAATTAGGCTCTTTCGACATAAAATCAAGAAAAGGGAGAGTAATCAAACTAACTGAAACTATACATATTAGTGCATGTCCTCTGGATTTATAGAGAAAATATCTATTTAATAAAAATTAGAGTATCGACCAAACGCTTGACATAGTTTTGTACATATACTGAAGAGATACATTACCATTGAAGGACCGAGATGTGTTTGATACTCTAATTTTTACGAAGTAAATACTTTCTCTACACTGTAAAAAATCTTGTACTAGTCTATACATAATATAAATAACACACGAATGAACATACGAATGAGTTACTTTCGACACAAAATTTAGGATGAACTTTTTGAAACATTTGTTTACGTACTGTATATACAAGATTTTTGCAGTGTATCCAGAGGACATGCACTAACTTGTATAGTTTCAGTTAGTTTGATTACATCACAACTGTGACCCTTCTCCTTTTAAAAAAATAATAAATTCAGCAGGCGCGTGTGTGCATCTCCTTCCCTTTTTGCGTGTCTACGCGCGTCACGAGAGATATGTGAATTTTTGCGCAAACACAAGCCGCATTCGCGACTCACGCGAGGATAAGAAATATCGAAATCCCGGATCTATTACGGCTAGTTATCCGCAGTCGTCCGACAGAACGGTGATTGCGTTTGATCGTAGGCGGTCGCGGTGAGCAAACAGCGATACGCCCGGGAACAAATGACGACGTCACGACGCATTAGAATTATCGGGATTAGTAATCACGAATTACCGTCCGGAGACGGAGGCCTTCCTAGCGTGGCGCGACAATCCCGTGCGTGCCCCGCGCCGTATTGGAAATTGGTCGGGTGTGCTACGTTAAAATTGCGTTCGCCTGCTAAAAGTGATTACCGTTGCAGTTATTTCTGGTGAAAGGCGCGTGCGACGATCGATACACATCACACAGCGTATCGTAACGTGCGGACGTACATTTTTTTTCTCTCTTTTTTTTCGCGCGTTCTCCGCGCGCGCTGACAATTCGGACAACGCGCTATAAACACGAAAGCCGATATACACAACGGGAGATAGGAACCATCGGTGCACACGCGACAGGACAGGTATGTGTGCGCACACGTGTTATCGCCATGGGAGGTAATATATTATCGGAAATGAATCGATATATCGACTCGTTGTTTTGCACTTCGCACTCGGCGCCGCGAAAACATACACCACCTGAGGGATTTCACGACGGTGTACGCGACATGGCGTAATTTCGCGAAGGACAAGGTCAGCCCCGCAAGCTTTTTACAGATTTCCTTTCATAGGAGATCATGGGGGTTGATAGCGCGCGCGCGTTTTCCCAGCGGGAGCCTTTGATCGAGGCTTCATAGCGTACGGCACGCGCAATTAATGCCAAAGCTCGCACGCGGTTGTCGTGATTGAAGCCGCTTAAACGAAATGTCACAATCGCTCACGGAATTAACGTGGCACGTATAGCGACGTGCCGTTTTAACGCGCGGAAATTGCGCCCGTCCGTGCGGCCGTCTCCCGCGTCTTCCGAATAAAATTCCAATTAGATCGATACATTTGTCCCATACTCCGGGAAAATTCAGATGTAACTTACCCTTCGTGTACAATCATGTTTTTTTGGGACACGCAGTACAATCTGAGTTTGTCAAACCCGAGCAATTTTGAACCAACATAATTTCGTTGAAAATCAACATTTTCGAACATCTTTATTTCCAAAAATATAGAAAAACTTTCGCTATGAAACAGCATCGCAAAAATTAAAACCTGCAAATAGATTTGCGCTATTTTGGTACTCCCTCTTTGCGAAAGTTGGTGAGCGATCGAATATTTGTTCGGGTCTCGCAGAATCAACATTGTACACGCCAGAGTTAAGTACAATAAATTGATCTACTTGTATAAAATTCTGATTTGAGTCCATGTGTCATCGGCGAATTAGAGTGAAGTTTAGAGAGAGAAAGAGAAAGATAAAAAGAGAGAAAGAGAGAGAGAAACGGTAAACGGAAGTGTATACCCTTAATATCTTGAATTCGGACGGATTACTGACTGTGTCAGCCGCACCCCCGCGTAACCGCGGCGACGAGTGGTGCGACGAGGAGCGGTCGAAACGTATTCGAAGAAATTACGTTGTTAGGGCGCGCAAATGATCGCACTGAGATCTGATATCACACGTACGTATGCAGCTCGCCTTGACACAGCGTAACGACGGTCGCGCGCGAGCGAAGGACACCCAATGTTGCGGGATAACATCGCTCGCGATATTCTACGGCCAAGTACACACTCCGCTCCGCTATTTTTATGCCCTTTCCACTGTCAAGTTTCGTTCGATTGACGTGCCACGCTACTAGAATCGATCTGGCCACTCTTTTTTCGTCTACGCGCGGCTCGATGAGGAAGTATAACGACGTGACGCGCGCGACGTTGGGTAAAAGCGCGGCTACCAAGCAGACGATGCTGCGTCGTCGTCGTCGATCGACGTTCGCCACCAACAGACGTGAGACGTGAGACAATTACTCCGTGGCTTCGAGTTGCAATTCAAGAATCAAATCGGCGAGTATCGATTGCCGCGGGCGAACGTGTTGTTTCGTGCTCTTCAACGTTGATATCGTACTACTCGTGAGTGACGCGTACGGAAGAAAATGCATCACACAAATCAAAGACGAGAGCTGCCACGATGATGTACACGAAATCGGACTGACGTAAAATAACGATCGCCGAGTCCGCCGGGGAACCCGAAGAACAAGTCCCGAGTACTTAACGCGCTAGTTGCCATCATACATCGCGTTTGAACTGCTCGCGCGACCCCAGATAAGGGAACATCAATCACGAGGGGGCCCCCGGGTGGCCGTAACGCAGATTATGCGAACAGTTCTCTGTCAACGATCACACGATCAGCCGCGACACGATCATTCTTCGCGCCTCGCCACCATCTCGCCATCGATTCTCCATCGATTCGACTCGCGAGCCTGACCTCTCGATAATTAGCGACACGTTATCACGGTAGCACGACGCGTACAAACTCTATACACACGTCCCTCTCTCATCACTAGCCGCGAAAGCGCTTCAGTCAAAGCTGCTTTAGAGAATTTTTCCGCGGTCGAGTTTCATTCATCCTCACGTTAACCTCTATCCGTAGAATGTAAGGCGAAGTGCCAGGAGAGAGAGAGCGTCTATGTCTCTCGTCACCTGTCATTGTTCCCGCCAAGACGTGCGATGCGTACACTGCACGTCCACAAATCGAGCATCGACCACCACCACCACCACCACCACCACCGTCGCGCGTCTACCCTTCGTCGACCTCGCGGCGATACATCGTTATGGAATCGGTGCTATGAGTCAAAGGGTTATTTCCCCGCGTTCTCCACCCGGATCCTCGGACGACGACATTGCTCGAGGAGAGAATAGCAGACGCGAAAATTTCACATCCAACACGTGCAACCAACCGGGAGCGTCGCGTACTACGTTGAGAGATCACACGTCGGCGGTCACACTTACGTCGTTCTGTCTCACCCCTCGAAGAGCCGCGCGACAGGCAGCAAGTCGGGCAGGATGAGAGAAGGAGGAGTGCGGAGAGGATAGCCTGCGCCGGCGACACGAGCCTCCTCGTGCGCGCTCAGCTCAGCTCAGCTCAGCCGAAACATCGCCGAGCCGCGCGACTGCCCTGGCGGTATACCGGCGGCTGCACTGCCGCGCCTGCAGCCAGAAACAACCCTTGCAAGCACTGCGCGCTCCGTGCACCCTCCGTGCTCGCTCGCTTGCGCCCGCGCTCGTGCCAGTGCGCCGCGGTTCATGCGCGCCCGGCCGGCGCGTCGGCCGACTTCCGGAGAACGTCGACGGGGGTTGTTTCTCTTTCCCTCTACCGGGGCGCGCGACGGCTGCGTGACGCAATGCGTGGAGGAGCAGCGCCGTACCGACGACCGATCGAAGTAGTTGTGCCGGCGTGGTGGCCGGGCAGCCACTGAAGGGATACGATGGGCGATGCTGATTGCTGGCGACGCTGCTGCTGCTGCTGCTGCTGATTGCTGGTGCTGCTGCTGCTGGCTGTAGCAGAGGCTGTAGTTGGAGAAGGATCGATAAAAGGAGAGGGAAGAGCGAGGTGGACGCGCGACGCCCGGGAAGAAACAAGGGTTGTGGGTATTCACGAGAGGTCTCCTCTCCTGCGAGATGCGCTCCTGCTGCTCCCTCTGATTCGCCGAAGGAGTAGCTTCGCCAATGTCGAGGTAGCTCTCCGCTTTTCTTTCTGTGTCTCTCTCTCTCTCTCTCTCTCTCTCTCTCTCTCTCTCTCTCTCTCTCTCTCTCTCT